AATGTTATAAGGATATCTAAAATTGAAAAGGAATACTACGATTGTAGAAGAAGTAGACAACCACAAAGTCAATATGGTCGATAATGATCCTCGGGGAGATCATAGAGAGGATATCCTAGCTCATCGGGGAGAAACTAAAGAGGTTCAGATTGGTCCTAAATCCTCGAAGATTACTCACCTGGGAACCAATTTATCACCGGAAGAGGATGCTGAAATTATTGATATTCTGAAGAGAAACATTTATCTCCTTGCGTGGAAGCCATCTGACATGTCCGATATTGAACCTAACGTCATGTGTCATCACTTAGCACTTGACCTAGGGGTGAAACCGGTGTCCCAACAAAAAAGAAAGGGCGACAAAGAAAAGAGAAAGGCGATAGTTGAAGAGGAGGATAAACTAATGAAGGTCGAATTCATCGAAGAGATCAAGTATCATATATGGCTATCCAATGTGGTAATGGTTAAAAAGAAAACTGGGAAGTGGCGAATGTGCATAGACTTCACCAACCTCAATAAGGCATATTTAAAGGATCCTTATCGGCTTCCTCATATTGACCGGATGATCGACAAAGCTTCTGGGTTCAGGTTATTGAGCTTTATGGATGCTTATTTTGGGTATAATCAAATCCGTATGATCCCGTTGGATGCATCAAAGACATCATTCATGACAAAAATAGAAGTAACTATTACTACGAGGTAATGTCGTTCGGTCTGAAGATCAGAGTGATTTGTTTATTTCTGTAAATTTTAGAAGATCTTACTCTGATATATAACATCGGGGATAAGATTGTTTTCTTATGATATGACTATGTCATCTTGTTTCTTTTAAGATTTGAACTATCTTTGGGGTATTTAAGTTTTTTTGTTTGAGGAAGCTGCTTTGAAGTATTTTAAATAAAAATGTTTGAATTATGAATTTCTGCTGCAATTTAATTGAAAAGCTATGGTTGTTGCCCATGAAGTATTTGACATAATTGATTTTTTTTAAACCCGTGTTACGGAGCAGGATGTCTTAATTTATTATATGATTGTTTCTATGAAGATGTGACACCCTTTTTGGTGCATTACCTTGATCTATTTACCGATTTAATTGTAAATATTTCTTTGGGATTTATAAGGGTGTTACAGGACACGTTGAGATGTTTTATGACTAAGAGAATTATGAAATTTGCATAATCCCTTTTTTTCTTTTGCTCTAATGGGGGATTCTTCAGGCCTTGAAGAACTATGATTTGACCATCAGTTACTAACAAATCAGATATTTTGACACACTTAGTTATATCAAAAGTATAAGTTTTTGTGGCGAATTTGTCATTCTTTTCAGTTTCGATAGGATTTTTCCCACTTTATGGTCTCAGTACCTTACAAGAGTAAGGATGTCCTAGCTTTAGTTAAACCACATTAACCTCACTCTCCTCAATTACCTCTTCATACTCAAAAGAGCATTCATCAACTTTTATGTAAGCAACTTTTTATTTTTTGTGATACTTACTAGTTCTGGTTTTTTTAACTTTTAATCGTTCAATTTGGAAAACTCTATCAGCTAATTGTGCCATATCTATAAGATATTGAGCATATGATTTCTTCTTAATAAAATATTCTAAGCCTTCTGCATCCATTTCTACTAATTCGTGTTCAGGGACTTGGATAAAACATCTTTTTTTGAAAAGTCTAAACCTATTAAGATACTCATCAATTGACTAAGGAACTTTTCGTTTGACGTTGGCCAATCCTTTCAAACTGATTTTAGACTGTCCCATGTAAAACTGTTCGTGGAACAATCTTTCAATCTGATTCCACGTATGGACAGAGTGTGGATGTAGCGTTATAAACCAGGTGAATGCATTTTTATGAGGGAACTTGGGAAATGTTTTATTTTTAGATCCTCATTGTTTTCTATATCACCAGCTTCTGTTTAATACCTAGCGACATGTTTGATGGTGGACTCATTGGTATCACTAGTGAACTTAGTAAATCTTAGGACTTTCCATCCTTTTTTTGTTTGTAAAACAAAACCAGGTAATTGTGAAGAATAAGTGGACCTTTAGAGGTCGGTGTTCATGCCATTTCACACCATAATGTGTCTGACAATAGCCTATAGATTCTGATCTCCAGCTAATACATCATGTCGAACCTGCCTAACCACGTGATCGACATTCTGGTTTCTATTGACCAAAACGACAAGAGGGTGTTCGACCACCTTAGAGATTCTCTTCGACCCCATGAGGAATTCATTGTTCTTGGTCAATCGTCTCACTGTCTACTTTTTCTGGCCGAACATGTACTTTCACTTGAGGTTGTTCAGCAGGTCGAATCGACGCTCTAAGGGCACCAAGGAAATCTCTTATTCAATTCATTTGAGTCGCCAATTGTTGGCAACTCCGAATCTAACTTTTGATTAATGGTCTAAGTATAACACCTATTTGTTGAGTAAGCATATTGACCATCTAATGATTGCTTTCATCTATCTGCTACTTCATAATAGCAACAAAATTTATGGTGAAAGTGGAGATTACTTGTGACAAAAATCTCAACCCAGTCGGACGACCAAATTGGTTTCCCATAGGTCTTGATTCATGATAAGATGAAAACGATGATGTTGTGTTTTCAGAAAATGTCAAAATGTTACTATGTAAACCGGCTATTATTGATGTTGGCATTCCATTGATTCTTTCTTCACCATACATGGGCATCATGAAACTAGGCATATATGACCCAGAAGCACTCATCCCAGTCGGCCTTGGAGTACCAGGCTGACTTGGTGAGAATATCGGTGCACTTTGATCATTTGATATTATAGCTACAATGCTTGACGTGGATATACTAACGTCGGATGACTGTGAAGCAACTGTACTTCTCCCTGGGAGTTGTTCTCTATTTGGATTAGAGTTTTTAGGATCTACCACTCCTTACTCTCATGCACACTCAGTATCAAAATATTCCCTGTGAAGAACATGCAAAAGCTTATAAAAATATGCAAACTTAACACAACGTATCCCACCAAGTGTGCACATTTATTTGCATAGGTTTCTAGAAAATAACCTCTAACCTCTTAATTAAAGTTTACTTGCAGGATCGACTACAAAATCCTAGAACAAAGTGCTAACTTTTAAATTGTTTTGTTTGAATTGGATACGAATATGAATAAAGGTTAAAATTTTGCAGAATGAAACAAATCAAAGTAAAAACAATTTGAAATAAGAAAACGCTATGTTGAACTTGAAAAGTTAAACTGCTTTGAACTTAAAATGGGACGCGTGCATATATTTTTTTGGAAGTCACTTGTTTCTCTCAGACACTAGTACTTTGAGTTTTCTCCTTACAATGTTATAAATGCGACTTCTAAAACTGAATGTAAATTCCGCTTAAATAGATAAATAAGGATAATTGTTACTTAACATTCGACTACTTATAGCTTGCCACGCATCAATTTCATACCAAACTGCTTTTTGACAACTTCCCCCACGTATTTGACAATTGCTCATAGAAAACCATCATTTCTAATTGTCCGTCTCTTCGATGATACCTTCAACACTTTTAGTACAAAATTTGACTAACTATTCATACAGTCTTTATAGTGCTTCATACTAATCATCTTATAAACAACTTTTATTTTTTTAGTAAATTTGACTATCAATGTATCTGATCTATATATGAACAAAATACATTAATGATAAAAAAAAAAAAAAAATAAAAATACTTATAATAGTGTCGGGACGGGGAGAGTGTACATCACCCATCTTTATCCGTGACTGTGCAATCACTTTCTATTTCTCTCTCTCTTAAGCTGCTTTGCCTTTAGCTAAAACCTAGTCAGACGTACTTTTGACTTTGATTAAATTGAAACTTTAGCAATGAAAAGGGACAATAAGATCATTTCCCACATGGTTTTGTTTGTCCCACCCATGTTGTCGAAGGCTTGCATATGACTAGACATTTACACTAGTACAATGCACAATTTGGGGGAAAAGAAAACCAATAACCAAAATAGACCTCATGCTTTAATCTAATAAAATATTTTAAGGTTCTCCTCATTTATAAACACATTTATATGACATTCTTAACATTCTCACTTTTAATATTCGAAATCTGAAAGACAGAAATAAATAGTAAGTGATTTCATAGTATAAATTTAATAGCAAATGATCTATTAGATTTTAAACCAAATTTAAATTTTACTTATTCCTATAAAACAAATTTATAAGGTGAAATTTGTCCTCATATATAAATATATTCTGATCATATATTATTCAATCCAAGACTCTTATCATATCTCAATAGTTTTTGTTGACCAAAGAATACAGGCATAAATCTTAGGTCATCCACCAGCTTTAGATGGTTGGTAGAGATATAGATACTCAAAAGCTCACCGTCAGCCCACACAACACCGCCTTACCTCATCCAAACTAAAGCAAAGCCATGATCTTTTCTCTGTCTCCTTATCCCCTCTTTTACTTGCATCACTCAAAATCTTTCAACTAAAGAAATTTTCCAAAATAGAGTAATTTTACATCGAAACAAAATGTTAATGTGTTCCATTGCAAAAGTTAACTCCTACACTGAACTTGATAACTGCCCTCCAACACATGGTTTGTGTAATGACCAGTATGGGATCCAAAAGCAAAAGCCTTTAGTTGAGGAACACCAACCAAGAATCACATGTGCACAACTTCAAGTGAAGGATATGCATGTGTTCAAGTATTTGTAATAGACATTCATTTTAAGAACTTAGTGATGCAATAAAAAGCATATTCTCCATATTGTTATCCGACAAGATATTTTCTTTTTTCAAACAGATTCTTAATGACAAAGTAACACCCTTTAATTTCTTTATCATATCATTACACCTTGGCCCTCTTTCTTTTTTTACACCTTTTTTCTCTCTTACCCACTCATCATCTTTATCTAAAGCTACCTCTTTGCTATGTCTTTAAAACACAGCTCCTGTATATATCAATCGCACTGATAATATCCAAACCAGATCACTACACACGCTGATAATGGCTAAGGAAGCTTCTTTCTGCCTCTTGTTTCTCTCTTCTCTCTTAATTTCATGTTCTGGTAAGTGATAAAACTAACATATAGCACAAATTTTTCAGTGTTTTTGCTCAGATTCTAATACTCTATTCTTTCACTCATTGCAGGATCTTTGGTGGGTTTTTCCTATCATGAGAGAGGAGACACTTGGAAATCTTATCTTCAGCCGAGCAAAGTTTCTTCGTCTCAGATTCGAGTTTTCGTCACAGATTATAGAATTCCGAGCACTCTTACCAACTCAAACATGTTAGTTGATCTATACTTAAGTAAAAGCCAAGTTGAAAATTTCATTACTTCAAAACCTTCAGCTACTTCTGAACTGAAAGCTCAACTTGTAAATTTTCTTCCATGTTCTAACATCAAAAGCATCATTGTTAGCTGTGGAAGTGAGTGTTTACTCCAAAATGAAATACCTTTGATTATGCATTCTCTTAAATCAATCCATTCGATTATCAGAGATCTACACATAGGTAAGGAAGTAAAAGTCTCAGTAGCATTTCCACTTCAATTCTTAAGGAAGTTGAGTCCATCACAAGAACATGGAATTCGTAAGCTGCTTTCTCTTATAAAGGAAACAAAATCGTTTGTGATGATAGAAGACAACATTGATGAAGAATTAAGCGCGGAGGATCATTTTGTTCAAACGGTTATCAAGCGAGCCGCTCTTGCTGCTTCTGTTCTTCCTTGCAAAGATGCTTCTGTGATTCTAACAATCAAGAGTTCAGTTATACCAAGTTCGGTAGAATTAGCCGAATTTAGTAAAAGAGTATCAAAATATTTAGCAGCGAGAAGACATACTGCAAAAAGAATAGCTGCATTATATGTAGAACTGCATACAGCAAAAGATTTTTCAATGAAAGAGCTCAAAAGGGAGGAAGAGAAAGAAAATTTTCCATTGTCTAGAAGAGAGATCTTAAGCAAATTCCACAGAAGAAAAACTCTAGATAACACAAACAGTCCAACAAACACAGTTTACCCTACGAATCCAACACCAGTGATCACACCCTCAGATACACCAACTATTATAGCAGTTCCTTCCACAAATCCTGTCACGATTTCCCCTACAAATCCAGCTGCAATGCCTGTAACAGTTCCTTCTACTACACCTGCCGTTCCTTCTACTACACCTGCTGTTCCTTTACCTCCAACAAATCCAACCAATTCACCGGTTCCGGTCTTCAACCCAGCTACAACACCTTCAACAGTCCCAGGTGCACAACCAGTAACCAACCCTGTAACGTCTTATCCACCTCCATCGGGAAATGTTCCTGTCCCTGTCATAAACCCTCCTTCAAACACAAATGCTCCTTCCATTCAGGGACAGAGTTGGTGTGTAGCAAAAGCAGGCGCTCTGCAAGCCTCCCTTCAATCAGCATTGGATTATGCTTGTGGAATGGGTGCTGATTGTTCTCAGATACAGCAGGGTGGGGCTTGTTACAGTCCAGTCACTTTGCAGAGTCATGCTTCTTTTGCTTTCAATAGTTACTATCAAAAGAATCCAGCTCCAACAAGTTGCGACTTCGGAGGCGCTGCCACCTTAATTAACACAAATCCAAGTAAGATCGTAACATTTTAATAACCCTTGTTTTTCTTTTTCTTTCACTCTCATGCTTCAAAATATTGATAGCCCTTTTAAATAGGTTCTGGTTCATGCATTTTTCCATCATTGTCGTCGTCATCATCCTCAACGCCAATGATATCATCCCCAGCACCTCCTACACAATCAACTCCAACTTCAATACCGCCACCAAGTCCAATAACAACTGCACCATCTATTACAACAATAGCTCCACCATCTATTCCAACAATAGCTCCACCATCAATTCAAACAGCTCCATCATCAATTCCAACAGCTCCACCAACATCTTCAGGATCGGGAACAGGCACTTTCGGGTAAGTGAGATAGCACATTTTTCACTTTTAATAGTTATGTTGTTGCACCTATAAGCCTATACTGATCAAGGTTCTATATAATGCTACCTTTTGTAGCTATGGTACCCCACCTTCAGTGTTAAATTCAAGCAGCCCAGATTCAGGTACAGTACCAGATTTTGGGTCCGATAGCCCTCCTGTTGTAAACACAACGTCTGCCTCACACCCTCGAGCTCTAAAATCTTTTACTGGCTACATAATTTTGATGATTCCATTCGTCACCGCCAGACTCAGCATGCTCCCATAGTGTTCAGAAACAGGTTTTTCATTCAAATTATCATACTTTTACTCTAGACATTTGTTAGAGTTGTGTTGTAACATTACATGCTGCAGTGTTAAGGTCAATAGGTGCAGAAGGACAATAGGGCAACAAATGGAAGAAAAACAGGTGTTCATCCATGTGATGCTTTCTTAGGTTGTACAATATATTATGGTAAATATTGGTCATGTACATATATTTTGAGAGCTTAGGTAGTTTTCTTTTGTTTTTGTTTTCTAAGGTACAATCTTGGTCTATTTAGTTTCGTAAATTGTCTGAGTTGCGATAATTTGATGTTCTATCAAGATTCAGATGGATAAAAATTGTATCAGATGACATGGTTTTCTTTAGACTGAGACAGGTGCTTCAATATGCACAAGACACCAACTTGTATCTTAATTCAATATCAGATGTTGATTCAAAACTAAGAATCAATTGAATTATTCAAGGAAAATAACGAGAAAGCACCGATGGCTACCAGCTACCAAACACCTTGACTTTTTAACTGACTCGTGTGAAAAGCTTTGAACTAAATGGCTGAAATTTCATGATGTTTCTATGGATGTGAGTGTGAACAAGGTCCACCAGTGATTAAAGCCAACCTTGATATCATTTTCTTGTGGTGACTTAGATGAATTGAGTTAACCTGTAATGACGAACTAAGATTCTCTAGCAAGTCAAGACAAATAATAATGATGGGATAAACGTCCTTTAATTTAAATATGTAAGCGCAACTACATAGACTAGTTTTATAAATACCGCGGCAAAATTGTATTTTGATCCTGATGCTACTACATATAGCATAAGCTAAAGCTAGATTGTCTCTAAAACGGCGTTTCTACGGCACGAAACGCATTCTATAACTTATCTATACTCCTACAATAAACTAGAGGATCTATACAAGAGTCCTTATAATCAAAGGAACGGTTTCACCGCTTTGAAAATACCACCAAGACTAGCATGGACATGGAAACCACAATTTTGAACCCAGAGGTGTCCCAGAAGTTCTGGTTTTGCTTTCCTGCATCCACAACTCTATGTTGCTTTCCTGCTAATTGATCTTTCAATTCTTTAATAGATTTATCCCGTCGCTCTCCCATCTGCTCATAAAACACATGGAACGAAACATGTGATTTAAACTATGACATTATTTAACAAAGGACATATAAGGAGGGTTAAATGATGAAGGTAAATGATAGCATGATAGTATGAATCAACCAATCATGGCATCAATGAAAACTTCTGAATAATGCTCTAGTAATAGATGAAAAATCAAATCTTGTTTGACCCCGTGTTTCTTATTTCAATGCATAAACTATTGTCCAGATGAAGATCAAATAATCATCAAAAGTTCAAAAAGCGAGCACTAAATGAACCCAATTCACTGTAACTAAGAACATTTAAGCATTTTCTAAATGACAAAGATGAGTGCAATAGATAGTTTTACCCTTTGGAGTTTGCGTGTCTGCGAACGAGCTTCCTGCAGACAGAATTCCAACTTCAACACTCTCTTCTTCAGATCCTGATCAGCACGCCGCTGTTTCTCCAACTGTGTTTTAAACCCGTCAATCAACTTAAATAGATTAACCATGACCTCAAATAAAGTATTACACGGGCAAACCAAGACTACAATACCTGTGACTCGAATTCCTTAGTCTTAAGCTTCCAATGAGCAGACATTATCTTAATTTCATCCTTAAGTTTAACTATTTCATCATCCTTAACGACCAATAACTTATTCATCTTCTCTAAATTCTTAGGAGAAACCTCGTCCAATATTTTCTGCAGTTCGCAATCCTTGTTCTCTCCAGCTTTTGCAAGAGCCTCCATGATATCACGCTCAATTCTAAGAACTTCAGCTTTCAATTGCTCTTGTGAAGATTCCCTTGCCTGAAGATCCTTCTGCAAATTATCAAGCTGCTCGCCTAGTCTAATTACGCGTTCCTCATGATCTCTTAGTGAACTATTTTTCTCATCTAATTCTTTTTGAAGTTCTAAACATTGGAACTTCGCTGATTGAGCTGATGCGGCACTTGAATCTGCTGTTGCTCTAGTTACTACAAGTTGTGTTCTAAGATCGTCCAACTCCTTTATGTGCTGTATCAAGATTACAACATATCATGAGTAAATGACACTTAAGCCTACTTCCTGTACTAAATAAACATATTTTAGGGATAACTTTCTTTTTAATTGATGTTGCAACTTGCGATAAAACATAGATTTTTTGCAAACTTTTACTCGGAATCTAATGAATTCTGAAGGACTACACTTCGTAAAGAAACATAAAACCTTGCAGACTACTTATATGCATTCTTCAATTATGAAAGAAAATCTAAGGGAATATGGTAGACCTACAACTAGGACTTGTTCAAGTAACAAGTTAATATGCTAGTTAAACCTACTCTACGTTGATTCAAAAGATTTGGAACACATAAGGATCAAATCAAACTATAGATTTGGGACAGACAATGCCAATATATGTTCCTAAATTATACTTGGTAAAAGAACTATATTAACAAAGAATGTGTTTATAAATCATGAAGTTACTATGAATCATAATGTCCTGGTAACAGTGAGAATGATTTGTCATATATTCCTTCATTAAAGATACCTACCATTGTTGCAAACTATTCTTTAATGCATATTTGGTTTTCCAAAAATTCATTACTCCGTCGAAAATTTGTAGTACGTACATGTACACCTATAAGATGCAATGCTTACGTCACAGTCGAATTCATGATACAACAGCATTTAATGTGTAAGATAAGATTGTTTTCGGATGCTCATTCATAAATATGTACCGTCCCTATCCCTATTGAATATGCCCACATGATTTTCCTTCCATATTGCAGTACAATTTAATTTGTGCAGGTTAAAATAGTACAAACTTAATAAGTTACTTTAATAGTGAAGGAACTTATCAAATTTGAATTCGTGCAGCATCTAATGCAGTTGGATAGCATGGTGCAAATCTATACACATAGGCTTCATTTAGATGTAGAAAGTCGTCAAATTACCACCGCTCTGGCACAGGAAGGGTCGTTTGAAGGTACTATTGATTATAGTATTTAATAATTCCGTGAACTTGTGCATCTAAAATCAATTGGATGCCGTGAAAGACAAAACACATGACTTTTTCCTTCCACGTATAAGCGATGTTCCAAACTTTTCTGCTACTAATGTAAGTATCTCGTTTGGGAGTAAAATGCAAATATCTTTGTAAGCATTCTGACCCTAGTGAACTCCAAGATCAAACACATCTAAACCTTTTTTTTATCGTTATAAAAAAAAGTAACAAAACAAAGCAGTGAAACACCCAGTTACCCTTCTCTCCAAAGTCTAATGGGATCCGCTAATATCAAAGAGGACTACTGAAAAGTAAAAACATCCTAATATATGGGCATCTAATGGGAAAAACCCTAAAAAGCTAGCAAAAAATACATATATGCACAATGAATTTCATGAACATCATTTCAGCAAGAAAAGCAAGCAAAAGACAATAATAGAGAACCTTGAAAACAAAAAGGCAAAACATTTCAATTTTCAAATAAAACAGCTGTATAAGCCATGAAAAGAATAATAATAAAGTGAATGTAATTGAAACCTTCTCAGCAGAAAAGTTTGAAGCCTGAAGCTGCTCATTTTTTTCTTCCAATTTCTTCTGCATTCTACTAATTTCCAATTCCATAATCTTGGCATTTGTCTCTGCTTCCTATTGTAAAAAAAAATCCATAAATTGCAGGACCAAAAAAAATCAAATTTTCCTAGACCCCACAACCACAAAGACTCCAAAAGTAGAAATGATTGATACTACCATCAAAGAAATAATTTTTTTAGCATGGCCAAAAAGAGGAAAACAAAAGAAAAGAAAATTTGTCTGTATATTGATACACAAAAAAACACAAAAAGAAAATGTATACCTGTCTTATTTGAGTCTCTTTAACATATGACTGTTCCTGTGAAGCCAAACGATTCCGAAGCTCCTTCAACTCAGAAGCTAAAGACTCCACGTTTCGCCTAAAGCTTTGTTTTTTATCATTCAAACCTCTTAACAATGGATCAACATCTCTAGCTGATGTAGATACCAACTTCGAATTGCTTACAGAAGCTTGTTTCTCAGAAATAGACATGGGAAATTAGAGATCTTTGACCCTCTTTTGTACTATGTATACATCAAAATCAGATCCTATGGACCAGGGATCAACACTTGAAAATTCAAACTCCTTGAAATGAAAGCAATTAAATTATATACTTGATTCCCTACATGTGAATATGGTAATTGAGCATTTAATTTAATCAGAACTCAACCCTGATAAAAAAAGTAAACAAATAATTCATTAAATAAAAAAACAATAATAAATACAATAACTTGTTTTCATGAAAAGGGTACTGAACAGTGGATTCAAATTCAAATTCAAAGCAATCTTTTCGGCTAAATTCAAATCAATTATTGACCTGATTACCAAGCTTTTTTTTTCCTGGGAACATGATAATTAACACTGAAAAATTAAAATTAAAATTAAAATTTTGAAAATTCCAATGAAATTTGGCCTAATTTTTTTCCCTGGCACAGAGTGCATCAAACATTCACTTTCATCATAATTGAAAGGAGAGAGAGAAAAAATCAAAGAACTTTTCTATCTGTCATTTTCAAATATTAAATAAAAATTATAATAAATCAATAACAATAAAGATTCTCTAGAGAAATACGTGATAAAAAAATATTAAAAAAAATCAATACGTTAGGTTACAGATTAAACTATATATACATGAGAGAAATGAAGAAGGTGCATAGTTAGTTACCGGTTTTGCGTTTTGATGTATGGTTTGTGCGTTTTGAAGCTGTGAATTTGATGAGAGAAGATGAAGATGAAGAAAGTGTAACGCAGCGAAACTGGTTCAGATTTAGAAATTTAATTGAGTGTGAAGAGACTGAATCATAGTCTCGTGCGTAACTTCTTCGTTTTTATTTTTATTTTTTAATGTTAATTAATAATTTCTTGTTTTATATGTGAGTGTTATTATTTGGTTGGGATTATGCGATATGTTTTCAATTCAAACCTTGGGTCGGTAAAGGCTAGGTTCGGAGTGTATAAATTATTATATTATTTATTATTATTATTATTATTATTATTATTATTATTATTGGTTAAAAATGGTTGTGATGGTAATTTCTTAAATTAAATGTAAAAGTATGATATTTAACTAATTAGCTCATGTTAGTCCATACATATTTTTATATTAACAAAAAAGTAGTAAGTATTTTGAATGTTTAAATAGTAGTTGCTTTCTAAATAAAACCAAAATTATTGTATTTTGTTTTTAATTTTTGCAATAAACTCAGGTTACGGAGAACGAGACGATTAGGTTCGGAGATTCCTAACCTCAGGCTTTTGGGTCGGAACAAAATCAAAGCTACAGCGAGAATTGATTGGTGTTGACTGTATAATTGATGAGCGCGGCAAATACAAATTTTGGCCTCGTCGAATTGTTTTGGAACACGTGGATTCCGCAAATTTTGGTCTCGGCATGTTCTCAATGCCACTTTTTTGCTGCTATATTACTAAGTATTTACGCTGTGATTGGTATTCATGAAATATAAGAGAGAAACATGTTTTCAATTTTATCCTACAAATTGATATGCATCAGTGTTATTATCAATTTTACAAAGAATTTAATTCTATCCGCATTAACTACTATATTCAAGTTTATAAAATTTATTAGTGATGATAAATTGATCTATTACTGCACGAAGAGAAAGTAATATTTATTGTAGTCTATTATTTATTTATTTTAAATAAAATGATAAGGATGTATTTGGGAAGAAAGTAATTAATTAAATTAAACTAAATTGAAAATATTAATCAGAAAAATTAATTAATAATTATAATAATTGTTAAAATAATTTGAAGTAGTGAAATTTTTTTTTTGGGGGTAAGATTAATAAAATTAATTAAGTTAAAAATTTAAATTAAATTATTTTAAATTTTTAAATATTTAGAACATTTTTGTATTTTCAAAAACATTCTACACTTCTATTTTTTCTATTTCTCTTCTATTTCTTTTATATCAACCAATATATTAAATCTATTATATTTCTTACTTTCTTCTCTTCTCTCAATCTTTTTCACATACTTCTCTCTTCTCAATTTCTCTTTACAACCAAACAAAGCCTTAACGTACTCATGTGTACCAAAATATATCAAACTCATTTTGGGATTTAATTTCAACATGATTTTTTTAAAAATATCTTACTTTAACATAAATTCAAAATAGCATATTGTTTTAAGTTGATTGGTTGAGTTAGATTGAGATGAATCACTTCTAAAAGTGAATAATAGATCTCTGAATAATGTGAATTGATGAACATTAGTAGATACTGCACACAAATAATGTGACGTTCAAACTTAAAAACAAAGAAGTGACTCATATTGAAATAAAAGGTTATATATATATATTTTTCTTTAGTTTTAGAATTCTCATGTAAAATATGACAAAATTAAAAACAAAGAAGAATTGGGATAAAATGTTATGTTTATTTTCTTTAGTTTTAGAATTCTCATGTAAAATATGAGGAAATCAAAATTACAACCATGATGGTTGCTTGTCCTTGTGATCCTTGTCTTGTGTTTGATTCTTTGTGTTTGGTTGTGTCTTTTGAAGATTGTTGAAGGTGAGGCGGATGACTTGTCTATGGGTCTAATGCACGATAAATTAGATTTAGGTTCAGTCTAGAACAATTGTCTTTCAAATTGATAATCTGAGAGAGTGAAAAGTGGCTACTTAATTCTTGATGGCAAGGTGGTGGTCCGGGGAGGATTTTATTTAGGTCTTGACTTAGTGGGGACGAGTTAATCACGCGGAATAGAAGTAATCCGAAGAAGATTTGCTACAACTCAGGATGGAGGCAGTGCTCTAGTTCGTATCCTGTGATAACTTGAGGAAGATTTTCATTTGGACTTTAGAAGGTGGTCCGAAGAGGACATCACATAAGTGCTTCATTTGTATCTAGTAGATGTATAGATACGTATGATTTAGTATTATTGAAAGACATTTTAACCCTTATCGATAGGTGATTGAGTGGCTTATGTGGTATCTTTCGAGGAACATTTTGAGTGTGGCTCCCTGGTTATGGTTTTAGTCTTTGGAAAAACTTTCTCGTGTCAAGTGGGGGTGGTTATCATAGTTCATGTATGCTTTGAGCATAACAATTATCAGTAAATTCAAATGTCTTTTAACTATGCTAACGTGGACTGGAAGAGTTTAAACATTTGATATTTCTCATCCATATGTTATATACAATGTGGTTCATAACCACACCAAATTTCAAACTTTATTTTTTAAACAAGCTACTTGTTCCATTCTAAAAATAGAAATGGAGTAAACAGTGGTGGTAATAGCATATCAAAGCTTTAGGTGCAGCGAAAAGGGTGACTGACCTGCAAGTTTGCACTCTGACGCTCAAGTTAGTACACGAGGAAGAAAAATGAATTAAAATTGGATTTTAAAATTGAGTAACTAGATTTGGAATCTTCTATATATATAGTATAGATGAAATAGAAAACTCACCATTTGTTATGAGTAAATTGCAGAGAGTTGTTGGATGTGCATACAATTGAGATTCATTGTGATCCTCAAGAGGAGAGTCCTTGTGTGCTAAGAAGATTATGGAAGGATTACAAGTCCTTCAAATTGGTCGGTCGGAGGCGGTGTGTTTGTCCTAGAATAGTTACCCCCTAAGCACGTATCTAGGCATAGCAAGCCAATGCTTTGATGCTTTAACCTTGGTTGTCGATCACCTTCCATTTATGTTTGAAAGAGCAAAAGAAAAAAATTTAGTTCCTTATGGATTCACGCCTTTACTACTCCATAATTCAAACATATGTTTGAAGGTACCATTATTATGACCATTGGGAACTGAAATACTTGAGTGTTATGTGCGAGTGATTTGACGTGTTTGATAGTGTGTACTCTCTTTTTCATTCTAGAGCATAGTTCTTGAAGAGTCAGCGTTGTTTTTCTTAAAGTCATTTTCTGAGTTAAGTGGTTTTCTTCTTCTTTGACGCTTCACTTTCCTACATCTAAAAAGTCAGTGCATTATAAAGTGCTCACAAGTCCCTGAAGAATGCACAATCTTCATGGGTGAATCGTGTTTACTCCCTCACCGTTTCTATTTTTAACTAGAGAAGTCAATCTTGATGGGTTTTTCTTGAAGTTGGTCCACCTTCGCATTTGGGTTTCTTGACTCCAAACAAGAATGAAAGGATATTCAACGAGTATAGAGATTGGGCCATCCCTTATTATGAATTCAACTTCTCAGTTCTTGGTCTTCGCTCTCCCTTTACTGCTTTAAGATGGAAGTTTTTAAGCATCTGGTAATGGCCGCTTCACAACTTTATCCAACAAATTGGGCATATGTGAAAGCCTACTAGTATTGGTGTGAATACTTAAAGAGGAATCCTTCTCTAAATATTTTCTTTCATTTCTTCTAATGTTATCATGGTCATGCGACTCGGACACGGAGTAAAAGGTTAATCTCCCTAGTGCCGACCATTCGGGGATTTGGACCTCTTCCTGAGTTATAGCCTTTTAAGGATCGGCTATTTATGGCTACCCTTATTCATCTATAGTTTCATGCTACATTCTTCATTGTTAGGGACATAGAGGAGGGTAGATGTACTCAATTGTTCTCCAGGTACTGGACTGAGAGTCATTTTCTTATGGGGAACTAAGTGTATGTGTGATACGGTGGGAGAACTGACTTGGGTGTTTTGCGTTTGACCGTAAATGTTGCGGTTTAGCAAGAGTCACCATCGAATTTTCTTTTATCCAAAAGGAAAGGTGAAAAAGCACAGGAAAAACCTTTGAGATTATTTCTTGAGTTCGGGGGGTAGAATATGAAAAGGGAAGGTATTAGCACCCTCTTCATCCATGGTTTTCCATGGGCTCTTAGTTACTTGCTAGATCACTTGCTTTTGTTTGAATGTGCTTGTGATGTGGTTTTTGAAAGTATTTTGAAAATGTAACTTCGTAATGATTCTCGTTTCTATAAGAACGCATACAAAAGTGTTTGTTTCGAAAATGATTCAAAAAGTGTTTGTGAGATATTTTTTTGAAAGTGATTTGGAAA